AAGTGAGGGGGCCCATTAAACGGCAAGTACACCGCCCAGACAAAACTTGAGATTCGAAAACCAGTCATTACGAAAAGTTTTGATGAACAGTGCTGCCAGATCACGGCACCAGACAAAAGAAGAAGAAAACACCACCGCGCTCGCGTATCGGTGAAAAGCGTGGAATTCAGGGGGCGTCCGCCTCGGCATAAAGAGGCTCAGAAGCTTGGAATGCAGGGGGCATCCGCCTCGGCTAAAAGAGGCTCAGATGCTCAAGGTTTTAGTTTTACTAGGATCTGGTTTAAACCACCACCGTCTTCACCCGAATAGAACGCCCGGTCATTATAGCTGTATTTGGCACAACTTTTGGTCCAGATGGAGTGACAATGACCGGGCATTCTATTCGGGTGAAGACTTTGCCGTCCAGTTCCGACAAGTTTAAACCTGATCGGCGGCCGTCATTTCGTTTCGGCCTCCTGAAAGGTCGGAGGCCCAAAACTTTTAGGAGGCCCGGGCACGACAACGGCTTCTGTTGATAAATCTGATCGGCGGCCGCCACTTCGTTTCGGCCTCCTGAAAGGTCGGAGGCCCACTTTTTTCCTCCGAACCGACAAAGGTACTAGTGGTTTAAGCACTTGTGACAAATGCTGAACATCACAACAAAGTGACAAGAAGAGAGGTACAAATTTTTATTTTCATTACGATTTATACTAAAAATAAAATACACTAAAAATAAAATACTCGGGAGAATGTCGTGTCCTGAGGTTTGCAGAGAAAATGATATTTCCATCCGACTGCAATGTCCAGACATAGCAATTTCAAAGCACATTGAAACGGGGGAAGTCCAGCAACCACACAAGAATGAAACATGAAACAAATACACATCCGATATCGACGACAACTACAAAAAAAAAAAAAAAAAAACAAAAAAAACATTTTCATTATCTTACCATTTTCCACATTTTGCGCCATTGAGAAACAATTACTCGAAAAACGCGAAAGCAACAAACTTCTCGCCTCTAGTATTACGCATGCTGATGTCAGAACAGAAACACGCACGATGGCTAAACTCACATGTAATGCATAAAGAGAAGTCTTTTTTTTTTTCCTTTTCTTTTTTCAAAGAGAAGCCTTGTTTCTCGCACGGATACACAGAGACAACTGACATTAGGTCCGCTGCTTGACGAAGCTTTAGGCTCATGGCACAGTTTTTGTTAACCGGGCCCGAGGTGAGAATCCACAGCAAGGAAGAGAGACAGTACAACTTATTCTTCTTTTTCTTTTTTTTTGTTTTTTTTTAACACGAACCACCAGTCCCTTTCCCAGCAATTTTGTTCCAATGCCGCCACCCCACCGTTAACACCCCCCGCCTCCTTGGGGGGGCTCGCTCGCTGGGCCACACAAAATGAGAATATTTTGCACCCTTTGATGGGCAGCAGAAATCTGGGTCAAAAAAACAAAAAAAGGCTCAGAGAAACACGTCGTTTATACGAGGTGTCGATCCAAATGATGACAAGGCGATACGAGTAGTGCCAACACTCACTCGATGCTCTTGGAGGGAGACGCGGACTCGCTCCTGCCACTTGAACTGCTTCCACTAGGAGACCTGGTACCAAATAAGAATTAAAGCAGTGCGAAAGTGAGAAGACAGACACGCAGATGGATATCACCTCACAGGATATTTGCACGACCGACAGTCCGCGCCTCAAGCCGACCGTTCCGTTCCGCCCATCCGCACCAACCGATCGGCGGTAGGGCAGCACCCAAAAAACAAGGGAAAAAAAAAAACAAATCTTGCTGCAGGTCCATAAACCCAAAATGACCGTTCGCCTAGTAGACCTGTAACCAAATCAGAATCAAAAAGCAAGTGTGAAAGTGAGCAGACAGGCATGCAGATGCATATCACCTCACAGCGAAAAACGGCCATGCACGAATATCAACCAACTCAGAGAGAACTTTGGATTTACGAAAACAAACTTCAAAGACGAGTGTGATCGAAGACGGAATGTATATAGATCATCATAGTGAACTGCCCGGTGAGCCGTAGGCACAGAGGGAGAGGAGGACAAGGAACGAGAGAGGCTGTGACAAGACCGTTTCATCGGAGTTCCACCACCACTGAGATATTGTGAAATACCTATCAGCTTTGAGGTGAGTTCAAAATTGTTTGCCCTGGTCCCAGTCCCAGTTCCAGCCCCAATACCCAGCCCCTTGTACCATAGTCGTCTGTCCCAAGTCGAGGCCAATACCGGTAGGTAGGTCGATAGGCCATCTTAGGGAGATTCCCATAGGAACCAACCAATAAATTCAGGCAAAGTCCGTAGAAGTCCCGTCAGCCTGCGTGTCAGCCCGTCCAAGTCGGCAGCGAAATCCCCAGAAAGTCTTCCGGAAACAAGACATTCAACTGAGGGTCCAGTCCGGGACCCAGAAGAGGAAGTGCGGGAGGGCAAGAGCCGAGTACAAAAGATGAATTACCCAAGTCGTGACAGACATCCACTGCGTGTCACTGCGAAAGCACTGCTGCGCCATGTTGGGATGCCTTGGTGTGCACCTCAGATGGACATAGTCAACGGCACCCAACACCCATAGCTATAGCTCGGTCAAGTGGGAGCGAGTGAGAGTGTGTGTGTGTGTGTGAGAGAGAGAGAGAGAGAGAGAGACAGAGAGAGAGAGAGGTATTCAGAAAGAACACAAGGTTGCATGGATGAAAAGAGTATTAGAGAGACAACACCTGAGAGTGATGTGGACTGGCTGGCAGCCTTAGCCACAGAGCACCTTCAAAGAAGACAATTTCGAATACTCCAATTGATTGTCAGAGACTATTTTCAAATTCATATTATGTATGTGCGACTCTGTCTGAGCTTTGTGAGAAGTGTGCGATGCATACGGAGCCATCTTGATGCCATTGATGCCATTAACACTTATGCATCTGGTCTCTCACGATGAATGCCTTCATTCATGCGCCGCAGCAAAGCTGGTCACAACCATGCTCTGCTCCAAGTCGCAATATCTACCAGATGCATTTCAATTGAAAGTTTTCAGACACAATAGATTGTGCCAATTGTACCTGCCTTCCACTGAATGACAACCACAGAGACTTTCATGACAAATACTGTCAATATCCGGTGTCCATCACGGTCCCCTCGCTTCAATCATCCCGGTATCATGCCGGCACTTCTAATAAGCCGTTTCACACCATGTATGCAATGCATGCTCCGCTGACTCTACATTTTAGCTGATGAAGTCTCAGCCTGGCCATTCTAGGAAAATTTCAGAGCATGAGCAAAGCAACGATGCGATCCTGTGTTCCTCGACAAAACCATGAAAACCATCCATGGCATAAGCCTCCCATTCTAAGCAGAGGCGAACGGCATCGACAATAATAACAGGAATGACATTAACAATAATAACAGGAATGACGTCAACAATAATAACAGGAATGACGTCAACAATAATAACAGGAATGACGTCAACAATAATAACAGGAATGACGTCAACAATAATAACAGGGTATGAATGACATGAACAATACTAATAGGGTTGGACCAACAACGAACCTAGTCATTATTACGACTACCCTGTTAGCTCGACTGGTCATATGTATAAGCTAACAGGGTAGTCGTAATAATGACTAGGTTCATCAAGCTTATAGCATACACAGTACAGCAGAGGAACCTGGCCTTAAATTGGGGCAAGGGGGTGGACAGGCAAGCAGGCACACCCAATGCATTCCGGCTGCAAATGGAGATGTGCACGCCACCCACACCCATGCACACACAGGACACCCAACCACCCACGCACATACACACACACACACACACACACATACTCAGTATTACTCACCCTCAAATGCACCCATTCTTGGACCTTTCTTAACATCGTTATTTCTTACTCAGTCTTTTAGGTTAAGCCCGGGTGCCCGGCCAGGCATGACTTCCAGGCAGCCCCAGCGCCAAAAAGTTCAATATTAAAAAATAATCCAAAAAGAATCGGAAAAATATATATATGTTGTGTAGAATTACAATACAAACAACTTTTGGCTGAGGGTCACATCAGAGTTCCTCACGGAACTGAAGATAAAATAGAAAATAACCGAATCACACTAAGTCACCCCCCTTTTCACCCCTTTAGCGCTTTCAAAAAAATATATATACCCCGCCTTTTCCCCCCTTGACAGTCGACACTCACAAAAAAGAAGAGCCCAGATTTAGTACTTTTCTTGTCCGTCCATATGATCATACGCATTTAATCTTTCATTGCTTTGCCACGATACCCAGACTACCTTCTTCCCCCGAATACAGCGTACGGTCATTCTAGCTGTGCATTTAGACTGAAAGATACCCCAAATACAGCCATAATGATTGTATGTTGAATTCGGGACTGCATGTAAATGCAGTGACGGTCAGGTACAACTGGGTTCACATACTTCGTGTCACAGACACCCAAGGACAAATGCAAGTCCTGAGGTACATGTGAGGTAAGGTACCACTGTTGTCTTCAGCAGAAGAGAATGCCCGGTCGTTATATCTGTATTCGGTGCAACTTTCAATCCACATACAGCGATAATGACCCGGTGCTGTATTCAGTTGAAGACGGCAGGGTAAGATGTGCACCACGGGTCCGCTACATCTGGGCACCTGCTGCAAGGCCATACTCCCATGAGGAGTTCCATGAAGGAATCTGGACGTAAGTGAAGCCAAATACAGTCGACGCAGTCGAAGCACAAATATTCCCTGAGGAAGAACAAAGTCCAAACGTATACCCTAACGAATACTGCAACCGAGAAAGGGCAACGCCGGAGACAGCCCACTTAACATGTCCAGCTACTACCGTCTTCCCCCGAACACACAACACATATGTGGTTATATTCAAGTTTTCGATTAAAAAAAAAAAAAAAAAAAAATCCGCATAGAACTCGTATGCATCGTATTAGGATAGAAAGCAATCGTTTACAACGACAGATGTATGTTCAGGGGACGATGGCCATTTTCTCTGTTTCTGCTGACTAACCATGCAAACTAGAAAGCGTTTGAAATCCTGCTCACCTGGATTTACTGTGGCTGTAACTTCGGCTCCTATTGTTCACAGGAGGAGACCTCTGCACCAAAAAAAAAGGGAAAAAAAAAAAAAACACAGACAGAGAAGAGACGACAGTCAGATCATCCGCACAAGCATCTCCTTTCATCGAACTTTCTTCTGTATAGCATACACACTTCATATTCTGCCCCTACACTTAGTCCAGATTGCTACAGAATTACCAGAATTACCTGAATCTGCCCCTACACTTAGTCCAGATTGCTACAGAATTACCACAGAATTACCTGAATCTGCCCCTACACTTAGTCCAGATTCCTACAGAATTACCACACAGTTCAAAGTCTACCAATGTAGCCGAGCTTATGAACGGCAAATGCCCACCTATCATCCATGGCCATGTCAGGCTCATCAAACCACCAGCAACTTCCAGAAAACTTCCAGAAGTCGCAGCGTGCATGCTGGCAGCCATTGCTGCAGTGTTGCGACATTTCCACCAGAACAATATTTATGTCAGCGCGCACCCTACCGTTCACCCCAGCACGGAGCGGCACGCATGAGGCCACAACTTTGGGAAGTACTGGTGGATTAAGAGGAGTTCTTGATGCCAGCCAGAGGCCGATATCTACATGTAGGCAGGTTGAGATTGTTTGTGTCATCTGATCTGACTGAATGGTGTTCACTTCGGGCCGAAGGCTTGCCATATCATAAACCTTCGATTCTCACTTCAACTGACTTCATTCCTAACGGAATAGCAGCACGCGCTACACTCCAACTGGTTCTTAAAAAAACAGAGAAAAAAGGAAACAAAAGAACGGCTCATGGGTTTGAAGACCTGTTCTCGCTTAAACCCAAGGTTTTTATGAGGTAAAAAAGAAAAAAAGAAAAAAAGAAAAAAGAATGGCTCACATGTCTTGATGAATCCTGGCAGATATGTTCATTTTAGGGGCGCACTCACCATCTCTCCAAAACACAAAAAAGGCTTCCAAGGAAAACCGGTTGTCCTACACCGCCGATTTGGAAATAACAGCGGATTGGTTCAAAAACTCATGTGCATCGTGGAGAATGAGATTGTTCGTTAGGCTTAAAAATGGTGGTGCACGGCCTCAGCCTTGTAGAAAATAAACTCTGTCACCGACTCGAAAAGTCCGGGGACGGTGTGCGGTCCATGAATTTCACCAGCGGCCGTTGTCTCGTTCCGGAGGTCCACAACTTGCGGTGAGGGGTCCCCGATCGATGTGTGCCCATGTACTGGTGGTTTAAAGCACCAGTAGACCACACATAGGTCCGCGGATGTCAGGATGAAACCCGCATCACTCCCCAGACCGCCGATTTTTTTTTTCAGCAGCACCCAGGGCCGGGTGGCGCCTCCGACTTTTTGCTTGAGCCGACAAAAACTTTCTGCCAGGCTGGGGCTGTGTACTTGCGGTTTCAAATTGCCAAGTTTATGAACCGTTGCAGACCTTCACACTTTGCAAGAGTCCTCTGTGTGAGTGGGTGAGTTCACTGTGCCTTCAGCGGGCTGAACCCGGTGTCCCCAGCCTCCTGATGGACTACCCCGTCTGGAAACATCCCCTACACGCCCACAACCATTCTTAAAAAAAAAAAAAAAAAAAAAAAACTTCGCAACAGAGAATACAGAGAAAAGTTTGCGATGGCAGAAGTTGGCGAGTTCACGACTGACTGACAGACAATCCAATTTCTAAAGGTAAGATCATCCAAACCATCTTCTTCAGAGTGCTACCTTTGTCACACCAAATAGAATGCCCGGTCACTACACCTGAATTTGGTGCAACTTCCAGTCCAGATGCGTCGATAATGACCAGGTGGCACTCCCGATTTTTGTTTTTACTGCTTAACAGCCAAATCACGTCAGTTACCTTTTTTTTTTTTTTTTCTTTGAAAAACAATGACCTAATGAAATTGATCTGGTTTTTCATGTACAGGAAACCATCGTCCCCAAAGCAGGGAAATGGCCACAGTTCCTTCCAGGTTGTTTGCGGGGTATTCTGGACTCTTTTCAGTATTCGTAATACAATGCAACTTTCCCAAAAAAAAAAAAAAAAAAAAAAGGAAAAAAAATCCTTGTCCCTGCTGGCATGGAGAAAGCTGGCACAGTTGGCAGCGGTGAGGAATGATTGATAATCAAAATTTCCAAATGGATCAAGATCATGTGTCTCAGTCTCTCTTAGAGCCCCGTCGAAGCGCTGAACATTACGGACTCAGACACCTCTGCCTCGTCACAACAGGTTTTTGTGTTGTAATCAACACGACTGATCATAACATTTAGATGAATACGGATAGCCTTCGAAACTTGAAAGCCAGACAGATGCAAAGAAAGAACAATAGGAGAGAGAGAGCGAGAGGGTGGAGCAAGGGAGAAGGGGACAGTACACAAGAGATGTAATCGCACAGAGTGAAAAATTAATATCATAACCATACTCCTGTGTAGCACACCGCACGCCCGAACATGTTCGGGTGTTCGGCCTTACGCCTCCCGAACGTGTTCGGTGGAACATGTTCTTTTTAATATTAAAAAAAAAAAAAAACATTTTTATTTTTTAGATTTCGGATTTTTTTAACTCGAGTTTGGTTTCGAATTTGAGCACACTTCCCAGGCAAAAGTTGTTTGTATTATTATTTTACATCACACATATTTTTTTCAGATTTTTCTGAGAACTTTTTTCTTTTCCTTTTTAACTTCTTTTTTTTTTTTTTTTTACATTTTTATGTTCACGTTCGGAGGGTTTTGGCACTCGTTCGGGTTCGGTCCCGAACGTTCGGATTCAGTCACCAAATGCGAACACGATGCTACCCACAGTAACTCCAAGCAAACACACGCAAAGCGTCCGTGGGGCGTGCGACGCTACCAGCTCCAACTGGTCGGGCTGACGGCTCTGTCGAGTCCATCCGAGAGGTTAACCCGCAACGCCCCCAGGGAGGAAAGCTGTAATATCATGCATGCCGACAACCTTTGAAAAGCTCTAGACATTTCCCACTCAAACTGCCATTACCCCCCCATACTGTCGCCAGGGATCCCACCAATGCGCACCGGTGCTACAGGTCAGTTCAGCCTGTACTGAACAGACTGACCTGAGAGACACCAGTGCGATCGAAGACCACAACAGTTTGGCCACACCCGAGTTGGGCAACGATCACCAATGTCTATTAATATACGCGAGCACAGGCAAACGAGACATTCCACTATTTTTCTTTGAGTACCGAGCACCAAACATTCCCCAATTCGGAGCAGGCCAACTGGTGCTATGTTCATGCTTCAACAGCATGAACCTGGTCGTCATAACTGTTACCATCTTCACCCGAAAATAACACCCAGGCATTATATTTAACTTCGAATTTAGTAATTTACCCTAGAAGGCTCAGTTTTTCAATTTTTACTCACTTTTTTTCAAATAGAACGCCTGGCGTTGTAGTCCAATAGAATGCCCGGGCGTTATATTTGAATGTTCCACGGGCAGACACATCAGCTTTAAAGGGGGTTGGAAGGGGTGTTGACTTCCAACGGGTATTTGTTTTTATTTTTTGTTTCCGAATTTATAAGGAATTCTGAAGTGACCGTCAGACAAAAGTTGGTCGCATTGCAATTCTGAAGACGGTAGTAGCTGGCAGCACCCAGTAGGCCCCAACTTGCGACTGTTCGATCGTCCACGGCCGAGCAAGAAGAACCGTTCGATCATCCTCACTGGCCTTGGTGATTATATAATAATTCGCTTGTACGACCCATCGTTTCCGAATCTTCCGATTGTACACCAACAGACGTGACAGTCGATCATCTTCTTCATGCTTATAAAAAGAACCACATCACAAGCACTGTGGCAGGCCCTACACAAACGTATCCCACTGACAAGCTCCCTGTAGGTCGTACCTTGCGTGGGCCAGGAGATTGCGATGAGAACGAGGACGTCGACCTTGATCTCTTCACCGGTGCGCGACCCCTGGATAACCAGAACCACATCACAATGACAACAGTGTTGAGTACATACCACCTCCCACGATGGGAGAATTCCAAAGTTCTCCCAATCTCGCAAAGGACCGCATGCATAAGACAAACTTCGCCACCAAGAACAACCACAATCTTGTATGGTCAATCTGAGAAACCGGAGCACATCGCAGCAAACACCGTGTGCACGCGTACTGCACACCAGAACAGGAAAGCTCCAATCTGATCCATAACCAAACAAGGGGCAAATGTTGCTGCAAGGAAGACGCAATCCTGGGTAGTCGAAAGCTGCAAAACCTAAGCGCGTCGCAAAGAAAAAAGTGCGCACACATACCACAAGCGAGGGAGAGAGCCCATTCAAAGGGAGTTCTGTTGCACTTTGAAATGCCGGCACACTTGCAGGTTCGCACAACGCCTTCCTGGACTGAATCTGGCCGAAATTGTTATCAGACGAATTTCTAAAAGTAAGAGAAGGCTGCAACCAAACGGACGCACAACGATTGCTGAGCTTACCTGCGCGGAGGTGACCGTGAGCGTGACCGCACAGGGCGTCGCACTGGACTTCTGCTGCGTCGGCGAGGAGGCGACGACCGCCGAGGAGGTGTTCTTCCGCCACGCCTGGGAGGTGGAGGGGATCTGCAGAAGCAAAGACAAAACAACCACAATGGAAATATCAGTCACAAGGTTGTAATCGGATACAGAAATGCTCGGCAAAAATAAAATTTTGAAACAAAGCCACAAAAACCAAATTGCTGGCGATAAAATTGCACGCCTGGCAAGGTTGTGGGTATTTACAAACACTCCGCAAACTAAAGGTGAGAAAAATACACGCATGAACTGCATTGCTCCCAAAACTTTGACGTCAAGGCAGCATCGTAGGTTTATAGCAACACACACGAACAGATGACCCACCTTCTCCTGTAAGCAGGAGACCTCCGTCGGCCAGCTGGACTTCGAGCCCTGCGTGCGGGAGACCTGGTACAAGATAGTCCCACCAACAAAACGAACACAATGCATCAGAAAGCCTATCTCACACAAAAGGCTTCGAGTCTGTTTTTGCTCTTTGGTTAAAACCTTGCACTTCGTAAAAACCTTGCAAAAGTAAAATAAACACCTGAAAAAAAAAATCACCTTTAGAAACAAGTTGAAGGTAGAGTGCGTACATGAGACAACCACCAGTGTTGTAGAGTTCGATCAAAACTTGCATCCATGGCACACCAACACCATGAGCTGGACTACCTACCATCTTCCTCCAAATAGAACGCACAGTCATATTGCATCTTCCAACCGTGCACACACCAATACCATAAGTGCGTGCCATCTTCCTCCGAATAGGACGCACGGTCATTGCATCTTCCTTCCGTGCATCTTCCTCCGGACACCATTGAAGGTAGAGTCCTTGCACGGAACAACCTACTAGTGCTGCAAAGTCCGATCAAAACTTCATCCATGCCCACCAACACCATGAGCTGGACTACCATTTTCCTCCGAATAGAATGCATCGGTCATAATCACTCTATCTAGACTGAAAGTGGGCCTCGAATACAGCAATAATGCCCATGCGTTATATTCAGGGGAAGATGGTAGTAGCAGTCACACAGACTCCTTGAGGAAGGTGTGAAGCAAAGGCTCGTACGAGTTCGTGGTTTTAATGAGCAGTTCATGCACTCTTGTATTTTTGGGCGAAGCACAAGCTATCTGGACTCGACTTGATTCAGTATACAAGAAAAAAGGCAAACGGCAGTGCCATCCTCCAGCCATCGAATCCTAATTGGAACTGGAATTCTTTTCTTTTTTTTTCAACTGAGATACAACATTTTTTTTCTTTTTAAAGCTATATTCATTCTCTCAATTTCACCTGATGTTCGTAGGCTAGGGGACCACCACCTGAGGGGAGGCACAGGGATTGGCCCTGTTGCCATGGTCCCTGATGCTACCAGCTCTTCCCTAGCCGGTATCGCACACCTGCAGGTCAGGAGCACCCCCTGCATGTTCTCTCGTGAACGTGGTTCTGGCTGCTACGGGGTTCCCCGTATGCCTACAATTAGGCAAATAAAAGTGGCTTTGTGGAGTAGAGATACAAGAATTTATGCTTATAGCCAAAAAAAGGTCGAACAATGTTCCAAATGTCTTTGAGCTGGACATTGTTGAGATACATTCCAAACATCGGGTTCAGTTCGAACACTGCACGCGCCAGTCCCAATACCTTTCAGATGTTGTGTACAGGAGCAAGGCCCCAAGGTTAGGGACTACTTCCAGGGTCAGCATAAAAAGAGGTTCAACAAGTTAGCATTGGCCAAACCATTGGTTTAAACTTTAAATCACCATTATCTTTTCGTGACCCCCCTTTTTGGAGGGTGGTTATCCTTTTTCAGATCGTTCAGTGGATGGATCCCGGATCTGGAAGGCAAAGTTTACCTCACGCCGGCAGTGGAGTGATGGCCTTAGTGGAGAGCGAAGGATGAGCCGCAATGTTGGGCTCTCCGCAGAAACGCCCAGCCATTCCAGACCCCACCATGAGTTATTTGGAGAACGCTAAGGCAGCAGCCCAGGTTCCAACTGGCCGAGGTTGCTGTTACCCACAGTTCCTAAGCAGAGCCAGGAGAGTGGTGTCAACCATTGCAAGAGCAGCGACCCATAGCCAGATATGACTGATGGAGCAGAGAGGTAGAGGCAGTAAGGGGGATCCAAAGAGGGAGAAACCCCAGAAGGGGCAGGTCATTGGGCGTGGGAGGAGAGCTGTGTTGGGAGATGGAGGAGCCACACATAGTTGGTATCCAGCATTCCGGCCCAAGGACTCGGGCATTCTGCAACTCGGCTTGGTGGGAGAAGAATTTCTGTTGAGCAACAAAGGCATAATAGAAACAACACTCCTTCCATGACACTCGTGATTAGAAGAATCTGTCACAAAGGCCTATTAGAAGCATCTCTCTCTCTCTCTCTCTCTCTCTCTCTCACACACACACACACACACACACACACACACACACACACACACACACACACACACGCGCACACACACACACAAACATGTGCAAGGCACATGCACACCCCTCACAGCGCACACACATGAACACCATAATAACAAAACCCTTATAATGGAAAGAATGCCCTTACAGAACCTTCCATGAGTTTGTCCATTCATTTCACATATAATTCCAGGGTGTTGTAAGACCCCAACCATTCTGCAAACACACATAAGACAGACGAAACACACCTGGGGCTCTACAAAGGTGAGGAGGAAAAAGACACTGAAGAAGCCACTAACCAGCATCCCTATCACTGCTGATTAACTGGGGTCTCAAGCAGGCTAGCACCATACGATGGAGAACTGAGTTAACCTGCAGATTGAATGACCGGACAACCATCAACCAATCGGTACCCCTCTCTCTCCCATACTTACCCCAATTGCTGTAAACCAATTGCAGATAGGAACAGCACTTAAGGAACGGCAAACACATGACGAAAAAGTAGGCACCGAAGAAGCACCTCCTTACCTGGTCATACATTGCCCGTTTTTCATCATCTCTCAATACCTGCATCCATAGCATCAACAATTACAATAACAACAAGGGGCGTAGCTCAGTTGGTAAACCCATGACCTGTTGAAATACAGACCCAAGCTCTAATCCAGATGCAAATCAAATGAACAGAATTAAATCATTCTGAATTACCTGGGGCCGGTCAGTTCAATGATGACATCTCAAGGCCGTCGCCCTTTTGATAAAAAGAAAAAAAAAACAATCACGCCGGAGAATGAGCAGCCCGGAGATGACCCGGCTGCTCACAAGTTATCATGTACACCCTCTCATGATTCTCCAGGCTCCTCATTCTCCAGGTGATCCCGTCATACTCTGGACAACATTACCACTGCAGAGGACATCCGAAAGAACAATGTGGTTTTCTTCAACCTATAGACTGTAGACATAAAACTTTCTTTCTTACAACAATTGCACACATCCAGTTGCTCGTTTTGGCACACCCTGTTATCTGCAAGAGTACGAGCACCTCAGGAGGGGTGCATTCGAAACTCACACCGCACGGTTGCCTGGAACTGAGGAAGTGAACAAGATTTCCAGACTTCTAATGATCGATCGTCCACTGCAGTGTTTGCTATAGCCCGCACCGACAGAAGGGATCCGACCGATGACATTCTCACTGCTTCTCCAACCACTAAAAGCGCGGTGTGACACACTGCAGGCCATACACATTGCATTTGCCACCCCGTAGCTAACGGAAGGGGGTTGAGTTAACGGGACACCAAAGACAAAGGGTTGCTCGACTGAAGGATCATGGTGGATACGTCTGCAGTGCCTTCCCCCTATGCGGCTTTGCCGGACACACATATGCAACCTTCTTCTTCCTACGCAGGGACGTCAAGCGTGCCCGTCACACACTGTCATTCATCATTGGGGTCAAAATCTCAGCAAGCATTGCTGCGACGTCACCACCAGGGATGCCCACTTCAGGCAGGCATCCTAGCGGAGGCCCATGGGAGACAAAACCCACCAGTAACGATGCACAAGACAAGGAGCATGGAGATTCAGATTTGGATCACAGACCAAGTGCCTAAGCTGTCATGGGGTTGAGAGTTGACAATCCAATTTAAGAAGATTGGTACGGTTCAGGAAAAAAATTCTTAAGCACCAAAGCCTGCTTTACTTGCCCCCCCCAAAAAAAAGAAGAAAAAAAATTAACTCTGCCGCGCCAAATGGGTCAAAAGGCTCGAAAGGCTAGAAAACCATGAACACACACGAAAAGAAGAACGAGATCTCAAGGGCAACACCACAGTGTCACAGGTTGCGAGCACAACACAAGTCCAACATTAACTCACTGAGAATCGAGCCTGTCACCTGCCACCAAGGTCGTTGGATCAGTACCTCTGGGTCTCGGCCCTCCTCCGTGCGAGCACGGACTCGAACGGGCGACCTCGGCCTCAAGAGCCAAGTATCATAACCACTACAGCCAGGACACGGTGTTCAAAAGTGGAACCATACCAGTCGTGATATCCGCCCCACCCGTGGTGTCCACACTCAACGCACACCACACACAACACCACACGGACACTGGCAATCACCGCACACTTCGCTCCAAGTAGCACATGACCCCCCTCGGTAGTATAGCCCGCTCACTTATGCGGGACTTTAACTGCCCGGCAAGCCATGGATCCCATGGATCACTTCACCAAAAGGTCAAGAAAGGTGGGATGAGAGTGAAGCCCCTTGTGTCACAGCATGGATATTAATCCATGACCATATGCACCCGGACTGTACTCAGCCCAAGCGCATGTGAAGGGTAGATTCAACCCTCTGCTGCTTTTCATGATCCCCTATCCTCTCTGCGATGATGGTCACAAACTCTTTAACGAAAAACAAAAAAAAGGAGGCTACCCTCTCTCTTCACTGCGTAGTGTAGGATCAAAGAGAGACCCTACCACTATAGATTCATCTGCCATCCACAGGCCTCTGCACCCTTCTCCATGATACTTTTTCCTGTCGACGAGATGGAGGTGGTTGGGCATGTAAACATTGCCACACAGACTGTTCATTGGGAATGTTCTTGTTACACGCAACCACAAGGACAAGCATGAAATTGTACCCCAAGGGACAGGGGCAACAGCAAGATTGTAGCTGACACTGACAGGATAGTCACTCGATATAATGAAGGGGGATGTTAAACTGCCAGTACCCCAGGGGCTCTTAGGCCCCCTCCAACGCAAATGCATATGGACCCACGCGACCCACAGATTCAGCCTCCGCGTCAACGCCTAAAAATGTGGTAGGTACCAGTGGTTTAAACCACCAGCATTTCCGAGGCTGCCATGGACGACAGATCTCCAGGGCTGGAAACGCCCTGGGTGCCAAAAAAATTGAAACGGCGCGGGCCTCCTTTTGCCTGGTGCCGCCAGCCCTTTTGCTCTGGAGGCCAATCCCCGAAAGTTGCGCTGGCATGCAAGCCACAACTTTAAAGAAATATCTGGGAAACGTACTGGTTGTTGAATGGATGTAAATAACTGGAAGGACAAGGATACACTGAAAATGAAATAATTCTAATTCTGGAGTAGAAAGTCTGGAAGGGAATCAAAATTTTATTTTGAGTAGACAAATTAAAAAGATGTGCAAGAAAAAAAGAAAAGTGCAAAAATACACTAGTCCACCCTGCACTAACATAAACATAGCCAACTGGTCCTAACCACCACATAAAATCTTTCTTCTCCCGGTAAATAGAGGCCACGCGGTACCCATTGCACACACCATATGGCTTCTCTCTTTATTTTTTTCTTTTTCTTTCGTAAATTTCGACCATTTCGCAATTTATGTGTCATCCTTGCACAATCTTCCTAATCCCCAAAGGACAGCTTTTCTCCTTAGGAGTCTTCGACAAAGCAAAAAGGCTTTTCACAGTCAAATTGTGGCCAGGCTGTACCAATCACCATTCTCACATGAACCCATGAATGAAAAGCCAACACTGCAGTTCAGCATAAGGGGGGGACAGTGGCAAGTGTTGTTAAGCATATGTGTGATTGGATGCTTTCTTACGGTTACGGCTATCGGCTTGATGACCCCGGCCTCACCTCATAAGCTTGTTGCACCTGCTGGAACTTCTTTTCAGCCTCCGGATCATTCTTATTTGCATCAGGGTGGTATTTTTTTGCAAGCTGCACTAATGACACATGACGACAACATTTGAGGTCAAATTCCAAATAAGAAAAACCTGATGAAGCAGCTGAAGACAAAGAAGACTGTTCTAGAAAAGGGCAATCCGCGATTCGAAATAGACGCACCTTAAGAAACAAAGGCAAAAGGAACTCATAATCACACAACAATGTATACATAGATACACGATACTCATACTTAGTTGCCTTTGAAGTTCAAATAAACCACCACTGCTCAAACAAGCGCTGCTGTTAAACGGCATTGCAAACAAAGAGAAATAAACGTGAACAAGCACCAATTCACCGCTCATCAACTAGCCTCACTACTCCTCACTTCTCTGTTCTACACTGCCCATCATACAGGCAAGGCAAGGCTAACAGCGAAGTGCAATGGACCCGTCTCTCAATGCTCGTCATTCAAACACTCTACTGGCATGCACGTCACACATGAAACTCAAGAAGGAAGAAGATGGGAGAGAGAAGAAGATATTGAATTTATTCCCTTAATAATCAGGTATATTTAGATATACATGCACATCACACATGAAACTCAAGAAGGAAGAGATAGGAGAGAATAAGATGATAGGAGATACAAGAAGATTTTGAATTTATTCCTTTCATAATCGGATATATATATATATATATCATGTTACAATATATATATATTGACGATAGTTCTATTTGACGATATATATATATCGTCACAAATAGAACTGCCCGGTAAACCGTAGGCAGAGAGAGAGAAGAGGACAACAAACGAGGGGCTGTGACAAACTGTGTATATATTGTCACATTGTGAATCAGAGCGCAAAAAAGGGGAAAGAAAAAAGGAAAAGGAAAAAAGGGAAAGGGAAGGAGGTAAGGAAAGCTCCACCTGTTCATAACCTCTTACGTACAAGGCCAGCCACGTGGAT